TTTAGTTATATTATATTTATATTTTTTTAAATAACATATATACATGCATAGAATATTTTCATATAAGAATAATTAATTTAATTAATAAATATATTAATATTATAAAAATTAATTTATTTAAATAATTAGAAAAAACAAAAAGAAATTGGAGAGGAAGTGGTGCCCACGTGGCTTTCAAATGGAATTGCAAATATTGCAATTCAAAATCCTACATGGCAGCAATCATCTTCAAAAATGTATTTGCAATTCAATTTGCAATCCATATGAAAGCCCCATGTGGGTGCTCTTAGACTTCCTTATTCCAATTCATCAATGTTTGTACTTAACATAGAATGATAAAAAAATATACTATAACAATCTAAAATAGAGTAAATAATTATTTATAAAGGCAAAAAAAAAAAGTAAAATGAGTTTTATTATATGGGAGAAAAATGTAAAGAAATGAGTTGAGAGGGGTCAATTATGTCATTCAACAAAAGTGATAAACAATGAATAAATGAGTTTGAGTTTATGTGGACCAAAAGTGTTAAAATATTAAGCTAGGAGGGGCAGGTGTAATAGCCTGAAAGTTTAGGGAGCTGCGTGTCATCTTCCCAAAAGATGAGGGACCTATCTGGCTAAAAGAACAAGTCTGTTTGGAGATCAAAGATCCAATGGTGACCTCTCGTTCTAACTCTCTATTGGTCTGATTTTTCAACTAATATGCCAAAATCTATGGCATATAAATATAGAGCGCCGATTTAAGATCCTAATGGTTCAAAACAAATCCAAAAACCAGCTACTATAGAGAGAAATCGTAGCTGGAAGCAAGGAGTGGAGTTTCTTGGCTTTTTGAAGATTGAGGTCACATGCTAAATCAAACTGAAGGTAATATACTAAACCAGTCTTCAAGTTATTTATATGGTTAACTTCGTTTTTTAGAGATCTATCAAACGTTATTAACCTCATATCTCATATTTACGTTTTTATGTCCAGATCAATGTCCAAAGTTGTTGGGTTTTCAGATTTGAAAACCTAAAATTTAAATGAGAAAATGAAACTTCTAATTTGATGCAACTTTGTGTTCTCTATGTTAAGATGTTGATAAAATATTAACAATGTCCTGGTGCAGAAAGAACGAAGAAAAATGAGCAATAAATGATTGATTTCGAGCTTGAAAGTTATAAAAATCGTGCAACAATGACTGTAGTCTTTTTCGGATTTCATTTTCTTATTTATTTATTTTTAGAAAAAAAACATAAACAAAAACGGTCGGAACTACTTGAGTAAGATTCATACTAAGGATAAGGACCCTTAACATATCTTAACCAATATGTTGATGAGTCTATTTTGTTATTTAAATATATTGATATTTTGTTACTATTATCAGCAGATATTTAAGTTTCAATAATTTATAGTTATAGCCCTAAAGTTCCTAAAAATTTATAGTTATAGCCCTGAAGTACCTGATAATTGATTTCAATAATTTTAATGTATTTGGCTTTATGAAATATCCAAAATAATTATACACTTGGGATTTGGTATTGTAGTTAATTATTTTTAAATGGGTGGTTACGATAAATCATTTATTTATTTACGTGATGTAAAAGTAAGATTTAAAGTGTCATAATATTAGAGAATTGTCATCAGACACTTTGATTTTAGAGGATTTGCTCAAATAAGTTTTGGCTCAAATGAGTTTTGGGGACATTTATTCGATTTAAATTGCTCAATGTTGTATTTTGGACGTGAATTGCATTTATTGTATATTTATTTGAGAACTACCTGCTTTGAGTTCGTTGGTTATTCATTTGAAGTCATGTAGTTTAGACTGTAATATATTGGATTCATAGACATATGAGCCGTATGATTTTATTCTTGGTATTGTGGAGATAGACTCGTGTGGAGTAAGACTCTGGGACTTATGAGTTGTCGATGTCATTTGGTATTGCGAAGGTGAACTTAATAGGGCCAGACTCTAGAACCAATGAGTCGATGTTTGTTGTCAAGTGAGAAGTTTTAATGTTCTCGCTATAGTTTCTAGTAAATGGTCACCAAGTCAACTATTGGGAAAGCTTGCCATTGTACTCGCATGAGTCGTATATGAAGATTGTTGACTTTGTGGGTGAGACTCATCTAGAAGACCAGTATTAATTATGGTCACCCTAATGCTTGTGTTGGTACTCGTTGGAGTAGTATATGGAGCTTGGGTCTTGCGGTGGTACTCGATAGAGTCTTATTCGAAGCCTATTCACCTTGAGAGAAACTCAGTAACGTTGATCTATGGCAAACACAAATATGGGTCTCCCCCGTCACTGAAAGGTTTTGTTTTTGAATAGTGTATTGTCCATGTTTTCGGTGTTGTTTTAGGTATGGAGTGTATTTATAATTTGTGGTTTTGAGTATTGAATCCTATCCATGCTTTTGGGTGTTTTGGATAATAGATTTTTGTCCATGTTTTCAGTAATTGAATTTTAAACTTTATTCACGGTTTGGATGAGTATCGGGCTTTCGTATTAAAATGGGTTATTCAATCACCGAGTTTTCATCACGAAAATAGTGGTTTAGGGAAAGACGTTATTTTTATATTTAATACATTTCATTTGAGAAATTGTTATTTAAATACATATTTTTAGTTTTACCCTTTTATATTAAAGATGAAAACTGTTTGAACTCACGCCTAACTCTATTTAGTTGTTGGCATGGACATCAGGTCCTCGTAAATGAATGGTACTAGCGGCACTGTGATGAGTTGAGTTCTAGTTAGAGGCATGAGAATGAATTAGCTATTTGGGTCATCTTCTGTACATTGGAGATAGCGAAATTTAATGGATTTTATCAAGAGTCGTCCCTAATCTAGACTTTGTGTAAGGTTTGGATTATTATTTGTTGATGTTAAATCCTAGGTTGTCACTTATAAGTAATCAAGTATTGACATTTAGAAAGGAATTTATTCCTTGTCACTCTTTCAAGATTTGAGGGCATATTATATATTGACGGTAGTTGACTTTTAGAGAAATTAAGTCATTAACTGGATATGGTGGTATAAGAAGTGTAGATTTTTTGGATGAGAGCTACCAGTAGTCGATCTACATAATCAAGTGAGTCTTCATGAGACTTACAATGGATTGCACACATATATACAAAATTGTTTTATCATGTTATAATTTTATGGCGGTGAATATTATGCATGATACTGATTCAAATGCATGATATCAGTTATATGTGTACATGCATATGGAGCTTTGTGGAGCATGTATGCTAATTGTTTTTCGGATTTTTAACATTTTTAGCATGCTTAAAGTTTTCAGTTGGTTTAAACTGTACAAACGGTACACAGTTTGGCGTATGGAATGTCAGCTTGGTTTGTCACACTTAAGGAAAGGATGCATGATCTCGAAATAGTGACTGGCTTTGTGTGAGCTGTACACACTAGGGAATGCTTGTAACATGGCAGCACGACCCCATAATGAGGTACTGGCTCTCGTTGAGCCATACACACCTATTGAATGCTTGCAACTTATAATTCCCTACTTGGTGAGACAATTATGAGGTCTCGTTTCTTTCAGTGTTGCATGTTTTCAGAAAGTGTATACTATTTCCGATACCATGTAGTAATATATGAGACCCCTAGATTACTCTCTAAAAAAATCCCTTGATATACAGATATATATAGATGAAAGGGGGCGGGGTAATTGACGAACAACCCTAAAAATTACTCGAAAATCGACTCCCAAAATCTGGAAATCGGCTTTTATTGCCCTCCCTTTGATTCTCAATCAATTCTTGAAAATTGGTTCCTCCAAACGACGGTTATGCAACTCCAATTTATACCCCTATCGAAGAAACCGCTCGAAACAAAATGTGGTTGCTCAATTTTTGACGCATGCGACTTGGGTGCAATTTTTTTTCACACAAGAGCCGCCCAAATCAGAGATTAAACATCGAAACAGTGTCTAAGGCGGGTTTTAGCGCGACTAAACCTACCGGAAAAGCCGCCCGACTCTAAACATCATTGAAACAATGACTGAAGCGAGATTTCATGTCGCTTTGTTCGTATGGAGAAGACATCGACTGACCGAACAATTTCTTATTTGCGTCCCTTTGTCTTTGCTTTACTGGGCTGCCATTTGGGCTTTTTAGATGCAGCCAACACCACACAAGAATCCAAAATTTAATTGGGCTTCTTTTTTCTTTTGCTTGATGCTATCAAAGAACACAAGGAGACCAAAACCCAAAATAATGGTCACAACCCATGTGAAAACCCCAAGAATAAAAAAATGGATTTCTTTTCAACTAAATAGGGTCTTTGAAGCATTGAGCCAACACTAATTTTAGGGTAAATCTAGTGTAAAGATGTATAAAATTGGTATTTATCATTGGGTCAATCATGTTTGAAGCATGTGTCCATGTATGAACATGGGTTAAATGTGTTTTGTAGACTGTGTTGAGTTTTATTGAATAGTCAATTTAGTTGTTAAATTTTTGACTCTATTTTGACTACTTAAAAAGATGAGTCTTGGGGACATTTGTTCATTTTAATTTGCTCTATGTCGAGCTTTGGGAGTTAAATGTGTTATGACATATTTATTTGAAATTACATGTTTTGAGTGCGTTGATCATTCAATTTGAATAATTTAATTTAGACTGTAACACAATAGATCCATAGGCATAGAAGTAAGTTTGTTGGTTTTAAGATGGGATCATTATCCTTGTAGTATAATAAGAATTATTTTAGGATTAACGGAGGACTCAAGGTTATAGATAGTGGGTTGTTAAACTTGATAACCGTGTGATCTGTAGTAGCGGAAGACTCAAGCTATAGATCATGGGTGGTTGTACTTGATGAACATGAGGACATATTGGCTATAATTTCTAGTAAACGAGCATATCTTGAATTATCGTGGGTCCCTATGCAAGATATAGTCCATGACTGGTTGAACTTGATGATCATTGATTCGTAATGGTCTCATTAACATTGTTATGTGGCTTGCTTTTTTGTTTGTCATATTCGATGGATACGGGTCACCGTCACCGAAAGCTGTTATTTTGGAAAATGTATTATCCATGTTTTCTGTGTTATTTTGGGCATGGAGGGTATTCATAACTTATGATTTTGGTATATTTAATAGAATTTTATCCATAATTTCAATATTTGAGTAATAAACTTCATTCATATTGTTGGTGAGTATGGGGTATGATTTCATGTTAAAATGGATGTCTTGGTCACTTATTTTTCATCACGAAAATGGTGGTTTTGGAGAAGATGTTGCTTTTGTATCAACTACACTTCATTTTGGAAATTGTGATTCAAGTAGTATCTTTGCACTTTTACCGTTTTATATTAAAGGTGAAAGCTGTTTGAATTCAGTAGACGTTAAGCCTAACGTTTTTATTTGTCGACATGTGCATCAAGTTCTTGTTTGAGAATGTTACTAGAGACACCGTGAATAATATAATGCTAGTTAGATTCACGAGAAGGATTTAGCTATTCCCGAATGTCTTCCATAGAGATAGCGACCGTTGTTGGATTTTAGTAACACCCGCCTCTAATCTAGACTTGGTGTAAGGTTTATATTATTGTTTGTTAATGTTAAATCTTAGATTGTCTTTATAAGCATGTACTGACTATTAGAAAGAAGCTCATTAATTAATTGATATATTATCGAAAATTTTAAATTAGTCGCTCTTTCCAAATTTGAGGGTGTTACAACTTAATACCAGAGCATAAGTTCAAGAGATTTAGGTGTTGATTTTAAAACTTTTAGACTCAAACTAGCGTTTTTGTAGAAAGTGAGAATGTGCAATTAGACACTGTATGTAACACCCTATGATAGAAGACAATTTAAACCTGTAGAATTAAAGCGACTAAGATTGGATCCAATATAATCTCCTAATAAAATGAGACAATTTTTTTTTTAGGTTTTTATATAATTACAGCTTTGGTCACCCACTAAAAAAGAAATACTAGAAAGACCAAAATATCGTATTGAGTTAACGAACCTATTTAACAGAAGTTAGTCCGAAGACCAAAAGTGAAACAAAATGACACAACTATAATAACCAGAACTTTAATTAATTCATAAAAAAATCGAAGTTAACAATGAATGACAACCACATAGACTAAAAAGTATAATTAATTCTATGGCATTCTTTTTCTGTCCTAGGAATCTTTCCACATCATGTGCCTTTCCTCATCCACTCAATCAATCAAGTACATCCTTTAATTCTATGCAGACATATATGACTGAAGACCCAACCTAATCTAGTGGTCACACCAACTGCACAACAAAGAAGTTTAGACATGTTCATGGATTAGGTTGATCGGTTTAGAGGCATTTTAACAACTCTATCTAATGTTGACGTTTAAAAATTTTCAACCTAACCCAACCCAACCCAACCCAACCCAGTTAAGCCAACCCATTCGGGTTGATCGGGTTAGTCGGGTGTTTGAGGTAGCATTAGTAGCCATGCTGTGAATCGAAACCTTTGAGGTTGTGAATCAAAGTGTATGCGAGTCGAAAGCTTTGTGCGGCTGCGTTGCTTTGCTGCTCAGTGAGACTGAAACTATGAAACATGACTATGGGAGTTTAGGAGTATAGGACATGCACGGGTTATCGGGTTGTATTGGGCCTGACCCAATTCCTACCCAATAGAGTTGGGTTGGCTAATTTTTTGATTAATCATGCGTTCGGTTGGTTTTTTTTAGAATTTTCCAGATTGAGTTTATCTAATTGGTCGGGTTTTTAAGCATCTGTAAAGAAAGTCTATACGACTTTTCTAGACTTTTTTTTCAAAACAATCATTTAATATATATAAAAAAGAATCAAACTTTAGTTGATAACTTAATTTCAATCAATATAGGGGTCTACATCTAAATATTATGGTATTATATATCATTTAGAGACGTAAATTTTTTCCGTTACAAGGGAAACATAAAGTACGAAGTGCTGGTCCATGCCACCGTATACACTGTGTTGATCCGCCCGTCCACAATTTTGACCAAAGATTGATGATGTATTTATATCAAGAGTGTGAACTCCGCTGATAATAAATTTAAGTTGATAAGATACTTTAAAATCGGGTTTATAAGACAATCTCAAATTCTAAGTGTCTTAATAGACCTCTTTATAGGACTTAGTTTATAGAACCAAAAAAATAAAGAGTCCTATCTAAAGATGTTGTAATAAGTTTATATGACATTTTTTGACGTCGTAATAAGTTTTTTAGGACATTTTTAATATAAAGGATCTCATTATCAACTTTATAGGATACTATTCGAAAAATTGTCCTATAAAAACAAGTGTCCTATAAAAAATGAGTTTATAGGACACTTTCTCAAAAGTGTCCTATAAAGTTGTTAATGTGACACTTTGTATTAAAGATATCCTAAAAAACTTGTTAAGATGCCTAAAAACGTCATATAAACTTATTACAACACCTTTAGATATGACACTTTATATTTTGGTCCTATAAATTAAGTCTTATAAAGCGGTCTATTATGACACTTAGAGATTGGAGGTGTCCTATAAACTCAATTTTGTTACAATGAGAGAAAGCGAACTTTATTGATAACATATTCAATTCGCATACGAATTCCCAAGATTTGACATCAAGAAAAGAAACAAACGATGAACATCATACTTAAAGATGACAAAGAGTCTTTCGACAATCGACTTATTCTTGCTCAGAACATGTGGTCTCTAATTCGCGTTCGAAGACAGTAATAAACGCATCCATTTGTTTAGCAGGAAAAGACAATCCGATTTCGATATCAGTCGTTGATTCTTTGCATGCGTTAACGGAAATGGAACGATTGTAATCTAACGAAATGGTCTCGTGCTTTCTTGGCTTCCCCCATCCAAAATCGACATCGTAGATCTTGATCTTTGGTGTTCCGGAAACCGAAAGTGATGGCACTGGTGCACTGACCCTCTTAAGCCATGTTTCTGCTTCTTTCAGCATTCCATCTTTATTCTTGATCGTTTCACTTAGAGCCTTTCCAAATAATTCAGCAGCAACAAGAAACCCCTTTTCGCCTGCTAACAGTGTGCTTTTTGTTGTTGGTGTGATACATGGCCCGACACAATTGCCGAAATAAGTTTGAGGAATCGGTGGGTCGAACCGTGACCTCCAATCTACAGCACAAACAAACATTTCAATATCATCATCACCTTTCTTGTCTCCAATATGTGCAAGTGATTTGGCTGTGCAACTCCATACAAAAGCACACGCCACAGAAAATGATGACACGTACTCCAGAGTTGGCTGTTGGATCCGTACCCATTTCTTCAATCGATTGATATGTGCTTGGGTCAAGACAACTGTGGCTCGAACTCTGTCTGTGTGGCTATCGAGCTGAGGAGGTTGGTATCCTTCTTTGATAGTTTCGATCCCCGGTTGATTCAAATGGATTTCATCTAAGGTGGTTGGGTATTTGATCACTCTATCGTAAAACGGCAAAGATCCACTAGCTAAGAACAACTCATCCGAACCATTTCTAGCGATCGAAGTCCATGCCTTGAGGAAATTGAACCTTGTGCTCGCATCACAAAGGGTGTGGTGGTTGGTGAGCCCAATTGAGACGCCAGAGTTTTCGAAAAGTGTCACTTGCACGGAAAAAAGTGGGATGGAAACATAATCGGATACTTTTGTCGAAGGTGGTAACAGCGGCACGAGCGGATAAAACTTGTTACAGTTACGAGGATGATTTCCCGTAAGATCGTTGAAATCTAGATCACACTCAGCGAAGGTAACCGCAACTGAGTCACCCTCTAGATGGCGAATCTCGGGGTTTCTAGCAACAGTTGAATGATTTGGCTTAGGGAACACAATTAAGTTGCTTGCAAATGGGAAAAAGTGTTGAAGAGTGATTGACAACGAGTGTTTGATTTTGGGAACGATTGTTTGGATGAAATGTTGTTTAGAGTGAGGGAACTCGTAAAAGAAAACCTGGTGGATGGGGGAGAAGATTAGCCATATTGTGTCGAAGAAAGTAAGTGGCAGCGATCTCTCCCCGACGGTGGCCGGCGGTGGAGATATACGGCAGTTCTCGAGAATTGTCAACATATCAGCGGTGGCGTTCGTTTGAATTATGCAGATGGGGTTATGCAAAAGTTCCCACCTTGATGCAATTATATAACCAAGACGACAAATTAGTAGTTAAAACGACTGTGTAGCCATTGAAGTCGTCACACCCACAGTGGCAACAGGTTTTTGTTGATATGCACATCATGATTCATGGTGGTCCTTTTCAATTTTTTATTATTATATAACTAGATGTGTACCCGTGCAATGTAACGGGGAGATGTGAGTTTTAACGATTTTGAAGTTTCACTGGTTTTATTAGAGAAAATTAAACGATGTTATAAGTTGCACTTGGTCTTTACATATTAATACAATTTGAATAAATAAGAGTTATGGTTCCAATCACAGTCTATCGATAAAAAAATTGAATGACAGTTTGAAATCTAATATATTTAAAATTCAACATATTTAAACGACTCCACAAATGTATTTGGTTTACACCAAGAGCAAAGAATCAAGAGATCGAAAGCGAGACCGAGAGTTTTAGAGCAATTGAATGGGAGATGAATGAGAAAACTTTTAATAACTCATGATGAATATCAGTTTGAATCTCGTATTGGAGGATGTGAGAAGACATAACAGTATGAGAGAATGAAGGTATGAGTGAAAGATGCCAAAAGTATCTTGAGAACATGAAAAGAAAAAGTAATAATGTGCATTGGTAACTTGCACTGTGTGTTATTTTAATTGTAAATTTAGAGATTTTAAGACTGAATGCAAAAAGTAGCAGTATTTAATGCATTATGAGTTGTTTTTATGATTTTGTGCATAAATGTATAGTATTTTGTGCATTAAAAATTATTTTTAAAACTTTTGATAAATCTGATTTATAAGATAGAATAGATAAGAAATGGTAATACTTTTTCTAAGATTGAATCAAAGTTCTAATCCGGGTTACATTTTGCTTGCTTTCATCCCTATTTTGTATTGTTTACAACTTTGGTCATTAACGTATTCATATTTGTATCTTTTTGGTTCCTTGTCAAATTATCGGTCAAATTTTTTTGTCAAATTCAATAAAAGAATCGTCACTTAAACTTCATCTTCTTCCCCTTCCACGATCTGCACCCTTCCTTCCCCACCCTGCACCTCGTCTTCAACGAAGGGAGCAACCGATTCACAAGTGAGATCTTTTCCCCTCCCAGCTCCCTGACTTCTCTACCCACTCCTTCCCTTCTATAGTGAAGCCCGTTTCACAACGACCCGTCAATAGTCACCATCTTTACCACAAACTGTTAACATAACACAAGAAAAAAGGTTTTAACGTTGACTTTAATTGTTGCTAAAAGTTCATTTATCGTCACAAAAGGTTTAGTGATGACATGTCGTCACTATGGTTTGTACCTGAAACATGGCGTCGCAAAAGCTGACATTCTTACAGTAAAGTTATCAAGTAAGACTTTTAGTTTTAAGAGGACCGATCTTGTTCATCTCATCAACAATAATTTTGAACCGAACAATTTGATATGCAACTTTTTCTTCTTCTTCAAGATCACGGGTTCGGATTTGGATATCCAATCCCAAAATAAGTGCATACATGTAAAAAATAAATGCCTTAAAAAATTAAAAATAAATAAATAAGGTTATACAAGTCATTTGTTTCTACAGGAGAGTTATCTAGTCCCAAAATAACCATCATTTAATTTTATATTCAAGACTTTTTTTTTGTTGACATTTGTCTTTATAATTTTCGTTAAAAATCATATAATAATCAATCGACTTTCTTTTTCAAAAATTTCACTAGTTTCCGTCTAAATATCACATGTCATATTGTTGATAGTAAATTTAACTAGAAAATTAGTATTTTTGTTCACAACATCACATGTGATATTTGTAAATCAGGAATTACTTTTGGAATCAGGGTCGGTCCTGGGGTTCCTGATGTTCAGGGCGAGAAGTCAAAAAAATGCCCCCTAATATTTGTAACGTACCATATGGAGTATTATAAAAGCCATTTCCAGTTTCTCCCCTACCTCCTTTCTTCCTAATTTATACCATTCTTCCATAGGATTTTAGTAGCAATGATTCATTTGCCTTCCATCCAAGTGTTTTGTTTGATTAAGAACAAATCATTGAAGTTTGGAGAATCAAATTCAATAACGACTTGTAGAAAAAAGGTTATCTTGATGCCTAAACAAGTCACATCACGATTTAACTTTTAGAAATAATTCCAATAGGACCATCAATATTGCATCTATTTATACAACGCTTAAAGGTTTATTGAATACGTAATATGTTTTTTAGTAGGGTCCGAACGTGCTGTAGATAATTTCTATAGATCATATCTTGAGAATTGCTCATAAGTGGCACAAGCGGACTTTCTAAGCTAAATATTTGCATATCTAATGGGCGAACTTGAAAAAGTTTACATTATGTCCGTCTAAGTGTCTATTTTAATGTGTAATGTAAGATAGTAATTATCTTTTTCAACTGGGGGTGTAATTCTATGCTACCAGCGGGAATGCGAGTCTCATCGGTTTAACTAGGACTATAATTGCGGAATTTCTTGATGTGGTTTGTTTATTACTAAACCCATCTTCTTTGTCATTACCAATAAAAGTATGCTAGCACAATTCAAATACCAACTCCAAAGTTCCTGATTTTCGTTTATAGATTTTTTTGATTAATCTGGATATCCAATCCGCTATGCGAGCTGACTAATCCCAGGACGACCATCTGCTTTGCAGATACCCCGGAGTCATCGCATTTGAATCTCCGTGGCCACAAGGGGATTTTTATTCCTCCTTGGACTTGAACCTGGGACCTCCAGGTACTTTTGACCTTTGGAGCCAAGCTCAAACCAATCAGGCACCACCCTTGTGGTACGTTTATAGATTATTGGGATTGGATTCTATGAGATTGTAAGCTAGAGTACCCTTTTGTATAATGTTGTAGATGAGGCAATATTTAACTATATGGCATTTTCTTTTCTCATCTCCAAGACTTCAAAAATCATTTAAACTACCAAACAAATTTTTTAATATAACAAATAATTTGGTATTTAAATTTGTTAATCTGGAAGTTAGAGGGTTTTTAGCTTTATTTAGATGGTAGACCATGTTTGTTATGTTATGGTTTTTCAGTTTCCATAATCTCTAATTCCTAAACTTCAAAATCTATCCGAAGTTTTATAAAAACCACCAAACTAAATCACTAAATCAGTGTTACTGAACTTAGAAAAAACACCGGGAACCGCGAAACTAAAAAATTAACATAACAATTAACAAATAAAATAATGATTCACATAGAACTCGTATCATATATCATGTATCATGTCGGGGATAGACTCTGCTGGTCCTTGAAGAGTCGAAGTCAGCCACCGGAAGGCGGACTCAGAAGGCCTCAAGCATTGGAAGCAAAATCGGATAATTGCGTAGTGTAGAAAGGAATAAGCATAAGGAAATATAAACCAACTACAAATCAAAGTTCGATTAAAGCCCATGAACAAAAAACCTTACTTGTGCAGATGAAGAAGGTGAAATCCACGCTTCAACTGTGTGATTAGGGGTTCCAAGTGAGAGTCAAGATTTGAGAAGAGCGAGTGGAGGATTAGTCCAAATTCGTTCGAGTCCGTCATTCGTCAACGTTCTTTCAATTGCTTAGCGAGGGCAGAATCAAGAGAGGTAATTGTAAAAAAAGAATGGTGTTCACAAACTCACCCTACCAAAGCTACAACGACACTGGTTGATGGTGCTCTTAGGGCTTTTGCTACCCATAGTTGTTGCCCTCATGGTCTATAGTCAGGGTCGACCCTGTTTGGAATCAAATGTGATCTAAAAAGCAATAAATGTGTTCTGCATATCACATGCACATTCTTTTCTGATTGGGTTTTTAATGGTTTAATTTAGATCACACGTGATGCATTACATATCACATGTGATTTATTTGATGAAATACATATAATAGACTCATCTATTGTGATTAGCAAGATATAAGAAAGCACAAAGCTATTTAACATACTAGATGATCATTTCTAATTAACAACTTAAAAAACTAAAAAATGCTTGTTTAAATCATGTAAAACCGAAAAGCTCTTGATAAAGTTGGTCCTAGGGTGGTAATGATAACACTTAAAGTGTTTGCAAAAGGGAGGTTGAATAAATACATAACATATTTTCACTTTTTAATACTGCATGTTTATTAAAAACAAAGAATTACAGATTTTTTTTCGGGAGATAGAGAAGTAAGACTTGATCCTAAACAATTTGACTGGTGATAAATTTGCTAAAGACAAACAGTAATAGAAAAAAGTATTCTTTCAGATCTAAAGAACTGAGATAGTCTTACAGATTGTTGACGATGATTTTGTCAAGAAACTATAACTCAAAATTCCTTTCAAAACCGGTGACTTGTAACATTTGACAAGGATGGCATTTTATAGCCATCATTGGATTAAATAATACCATCCAACTTTAAAGACATGTATTCATCAGATTTTCTCATCAGTGCATGTTAGCTTTTGAGTATTTTGATGATATGATGTAGACATTTGTTAACACAACTCGTCTTTATACATGTAAAGGGAACAGTAAAGGAGGTATGATACTAACCAAATAACACTTTTAAACTCACTTTATTTGACATGCAAAACATGTTTCCATACCAGATCAAAAGTTGGTAGAGTTGGTGAGTCAAACTTACTAGTTAAGTTTGCACTAAAAAGTTGGCTCGCAGAAAGTAGTATTTGTCAGACTATTATCTCATACTGGTCTTCTATCAGCTAGATAACAATCCAATCCTCTTTGATGACTATCTTGACTTCACTTTAACGAGTCTCCGATTTTGTTGAAGGCTTTTTGGCCTTGGACCTATGCAGATTTTAATAAGATTTTTATGAGGAAAATCCTATTTTAATTCTTCTCTCTAAAACATAAGCTACATTTTAGATTCTAGCAAGACTATGATTTATGAAGTAATGAATTCTTATCCTTATTTAATTCGGATTTCTTTAATTTTTCGGATCCCCAAATTCAGATACCAATCTGGTTGAGTAAATCCGATGATTTATCTGGGTATAAATCCGAATATTGTCAATTTTACAAATTTGGATG